TAGTGCTCAGGGGAAATTTGATTGGCTGAATCTATGGCAGCCATCTTGGATGGTACACACACACAGCTCTGCGTATTTCGAACATCGAATACATTGCTGTTAGCGCTCTAGTATTCTTATTATATCTCTATGTTTTCATCAGATATTTTTATTTTCACCAACCAGGTTTAATAATTATTGTAGGCCTATTGAAAATGAAAATTTTAACACTTTTTTTGTATTCTGAATGAAATTGAAAATACAGTATTTAATTTTTGGAACATTTTTTTTTTTTTATTTATTTACTTTGTTCATGATGTTGAAAAGTACAATTAATAGGATCATACTCAGTGCGAATGTATTGTCGTCTACTGTATGCAATTATATTATATCTCTATGTTTTCATCAGATATTTTTATTTTCACCAACCAGGTTTAATAATTATTGTAGGCCTATTGAAAATGAAAATTTTAACACTTTTTTTGTATTCTGAATGAAATTGAAAATACAGTATTTAATTTTTGGAACATTTTTTTTTTTTATTTATTTACTTTGTTCATGATGTTGAAAAGTACAATTAATAGGATCATACTCAGTGCGAATGTATTGTCGTCTACTGTATGCAATTAATCCTAGTTGTGCATAAGCATATGGCACTGCTAAAGCATCTACCGTACTCGCGCGAATAAGCGCCCGGGCGCTTAAAATTTTTTTGCACTTTCTGAGGGGCGCTTATTCAAACGGGGCGCTTATATAAACGGGGCGCTTATGAAAACGGAGTGGAAATTGAGGGGGCGCTTATGGAAATAGATGAAAATCGAGGGGTTCTTATGGAAAAATTTTAAATTCAAGAGTCACTTTTTGAATGAAAAAAGATTATATAAGGATATCACGAATGGTGGTTAGAAAAGATAATCGTCGAGAGAAAATGGCTCATTACAAGAATGCGTGAATATTTACATAACAGCAAAATAGCAGATGCTAATGGTTAGCTTGTTGGCCATCAGCCGATTGAGATTAGCAGGATGGCACGATCATTGTTTTTTTTTTCTAGCCAAAAATGAAGATTAAAAAAAGAAAAAAAAAACCTGGCTCGTGTGGTGAATATTCATAGATTCTTCTCATATAAAATATATAAATTGCAATTGGATGAAGCCCTAACCTTAACAAAAAACAAAAAATGGTTCGTGTGGGAATCGAACACACA